GGCATGGTTAAACAAAGTTGTGGGCCTATCAGCATCCCTTTGTTTAAACTGACCAGCCCTAAATTAAGGAAAGAAGAATATCCCACCCCAATAACCAAAGACCCTTAAAACCCCCAGCCCCTCAGGAGAGGCAAGTCTTTAGCAGCCAAGTACCCCCTCCCATTTTACAAAGGGTCTTTCTTCTGTGTGCCTTGCTCTGTGTATGTGTGTGTGTGTACACACAAACGAGTGTGCACACATGTGCATGCACATTTAATACAATTCTTTCTGCACCAGCTGATTTTCAGATTTCTTCTGTTGCTTCCTGTTGTGCTCAAGGTTTTTTCCCTGCCTTTTAATTCTTTAACTGGCAGAGAAAATGAACCCAATCCAGACCCTAGAATATAACAGTTATGTTATAGACATTTTCTCCAGAAAAAGTCACACAACACTCTTATAAAAGAAGCCATATTAGTATAAAACCTACACATAGCTCCTTACACTATTCTAATACCTAATAACTGTGAGCAGTATGCAAAGGCTTGTTGTATTGACTAGGAAATAACAATAAAAAGCCAATGTATGTTTAGCACAGACACAGTTTTGTTTTTTTTCAAATATTCTTCATCTGTGCTTGGTTGAATCCAAGGACACAGAACCCACAAATACCAAGGACCAACTATGAAAAGATGCTTGGTTCAGAGCGAACAGTACTGCAGTTTCTTAGCTCCTGAATTCAGGAGTCAGGAAACACGCCACAAAATCAATGCTATGTACTGGAGACCTAGGCTTGAGGCTGGCTACTGCAGACTTGCAGCATGGCCTTGGGTAAACTGTTGTCCTCTCTGGGTCTCAGGCTTGCTGATGAGAGCAGGGATGGTGGAGAAGATGCTTTTCACCTGGCTTCTCGGAGTATATCTGGAAGCTGGAGGCAGTGCCAAAGCTCAGATCCTGCCTGCCACAGTCAAAGAAGGGTCAGCCATTTCTGCTTTCACAGCTGATCCCAGTAGCCATCCTGGTGTCTGGCTTCAGTTGGCTGAGATGTTGGCTCCCTCTACTGGCTTAAAAACAAACTGGAGGAGGGGCAGGAATGACTCTCTCCTCTCTCTCTCTCTCTCTCTCTCTCTCTCTCTCTCTCTCTCTCTCTCCCTCCCTCCCTCTTTTCCTTTCTTTTTAACATATCCAAGTGTAGAAGCTCCATACACCCAAGTCACAGGGACTCCCATTCCTCATGGCTACAATGAGAGTCACAAAGAGATGGTGTTTTACACACTGCCACCGGAAGCTAAACATTTACAATTTGAAACAAGTAACCCCTGAAGCTATTCTGCACAACAACAAAGGTCATGGGTAATCTGCTGCCTGCGAACCTCACATACCTGGGAACAGGGCCCACCCCAGAAGGCCTCAAAGGCAGGTAGAGGAACTCATACTAACAGCATACTGGTTCCGAGAGGTGAGTCTTTCAAGCAGGCAAGCTGTGTTTGAGTCCCACTTCCCAAACTGCTCTTAGGCAGTCGAAGCTCTCAGTCTTCCATTTCCTTACCTTTAAAGTGGACAGGAGTTTGGATTGACTGGAAGCATGCAGACTGAAGACAGCACTCAACACACGGCAAGGGTTCAAAGCTCAAAACAAAGCTCCCTGGACAGAAAGATAAAATTATCTACTGCATAAAGCTACAGTTCTCGTGGTGTAGCCCTGGTTGCCTTTCCAGTGAGCTGGACAGTGTATAAAAGGCCAGAAGCTTCTATGGCATGAGGCTAAATTAACCTAGCCTTGATTTAGATGCCATGCTTCCCGGATGAATTCAGCAAGTCCCTTAATTTCCAAACCTTGGCTTCTTCTCTAAATGCCCGTGCTTAGGAACAATAAGCAGGCAGAGGAAACTAATTGGTCTGCTCATGAACAGGAGGGTCTACTGCTTCTAAGTGCTGTGGGAAAGCACCTTGAACTTGGCTGCGTTTGGAGCAAGAGTGTTTACGTAATCAGAAGTGTGTTTTGAAAAGCTCTTGCCTAGTAGCTGAAAAGCCTCCCCAGAAGGGTTGCACAAAGCACTGCAAATATTCCCAAATCTTGAGTCCCAGCGGAGACCCTGCCCTAAGCCAGCAATCTACTTGACACATCCTCTTGGTGTCAAATGACACAGCTGGACTAATAGGAGCAATTTGGGATGTGGGCTTTTCCACAAAGTCCCCATCTCAGGAAACAGTGTCACTAGCTACTGCCACCTACTAGTTAAAGCTAAATATCTACCTGTCAACGTTGTGTTCCCCTTTTCTTTTCTGCCTACACCAACCCACCAACCAACACCTCTAGATGTCCACACAAGAAAGGTCTTCATTCCCTTCAGCCTAGTGTAAGTCAAATCCACAGCCATCCTGTGTCCCCAGACTTTGCAGACTTCTTAAGTGACCCACCTGTCCCCAACCCTTCTGCTGTGAGCCACAACAATCCTAAATCTGATCTGGGCATAGATTACAATATAATCCAAATATAATCTATAATCCAAACCCTTGGGAGGCTGGAGCAGAAGGAGCTAGAGTTTGAAGTCAGCTTTGACTACGAAGTTCCAGGTTCATCATAGCAGTGCCCTATCAGGAAAAAGGAAGGGAGGGAGAAATTAGGGGAGGGAGGTTTGGAGGGAGGGAGGAAGGGAGGGAGGAATGTGAGGAGAAGGAAAACAGGGAGGAGAACAGGGCAAGGGAGGAGACAGGCAAGTAAAAGAAAAAACGGAAAAGAAATGAGCACTTGGAGGTCTGACCACATACAGGAGCCTGCAGTATCTCCCCTCAGTGCTGTGGTGTGGACCCCGTTCCTTCTCCACACGCATTCTTACCACACCCAGCCACACTAAGTTCCTTTGACCCTTCAAGACTTAGGGCCACTTTGCCAACCTCCAGGGACACCTCCCACCACAGCCATAGGGTGACATGCTTTTGGTTACAGAGCAGTCCCTAATCTCTGTGGCTGCAGTGGCCTGGTCTTTAGCACCCTTTCTCTTCTCTTCTGTGCACTCATTACAATCTCTTACAGATTCTAAGGGAGCCCGTGATCCACCTCTGGTTCCCACGCCCTCGTGTGACCTTCTCCTTAGTGTGGGGCATTCCCAGGACTACTTCTAAAGAATAGGAACCATGATAAGATATGTGATTGTGAATACACATGGCAGTGTTACTCAAGAAATGAAATACATGTCTTGATAAGTCTCTGTTCCCTTGGTGTTTTGAAAACAAGAGACTGCTGCTTTGTGAGCTGGCCGGAGGAGGCGGACATGAAGCAAGGAACTGGGGCCCTCGATCTGTAGCCCTCAAGGAATTGGATGTGACCCATGGCCATGTATACTTGGATGTAGATCCTTTCCCAGACACACCTCAGAGAAGATCCCAGGGCAACTCTGCTAAAATTGGTATGTTCTTTTATGTCAATAGTTGTTGCAGGTTATTAATCAATAATAAATAAATAAACCACAAATACAATTGGTAATTGACCCCAATCTTGGGAACAAGGCCAGGGACCTCCATGTTCCACAAGACTGGCCAGCAGTGTACACAGGTCAGACCCTTGCATGAAGTAAAGAGATGTCCAATAAACAGTAACTGTTACTACTAATAGTAACTAAGACCTCATGATATTGATAGCATTAAACAATTCTTGTTCTCTAATGGATGGATCTCCCTTTAGGATCAAGTGCAGCTGGACAGCATAGGACACAGAAAAGTTGAGGGCTTTATGTCCTACTAGGGCCAATGGCATCAGTTGTTTCTCCCCAGCAAACTTCCTTTTCTTCTGATATTCTTTTGAGAGGCTCCTTCTTTCTCTCAGACTCCACCCAACTGTGGGACCAAAGCAGCTGATCTGGCCCCTTTCCCCATTCCCAGCTCTTACACATACACAGGGCATGTGAGCAGATGTAATACTGGCCACTGCGGTTGGTCACATGGCCCTGATCTGTCCAATCAGAGCCAAGCCTAAAATCTGCAATGTACTACTGGTATAGAAAGTACTCAGTTCCAGTCAAGTACTAAGTACAACAAAGATCTACAGAGACTCTTGTGTGGGACAAACTTGCTGAAAAAGCAGCTCACCTCACGGCAAGGAAAGTGAGGTAAAATCACATGAGCTCCAGCTCCTCACAATGCAGAACTTGCAGACAGCCTGGACTATAAACAAGGTCCTGTCTCAAACACATTAACAATGATCTCCCCACTATTGGTTCAATGAACCATAACCTCTCCACGTCACTCCCATCTTTTTATAAATAGCTTTGAGTTGGGTGTGGTCTCTAACAACTAAAAAAGCTCTGTGCTGAGGCTTAAATGTGAGATGTCCCCAAAGGCTCATGCGCTCAGCTCCTAGTCCTTGCCAGGGGCCACCCCTGAGGTGGTCAGCTGGGCTCAGTTTTCAGTCCTCTAAGTGCTTCCTGACCACGTGAGCAGTGACTTGCTGCCATACCATTCCCACCACAATGGGTTGCAGCCCCATGAACTGTAAGCCAGATAAACCTTTCTTCACTAAAGTTGCTACTTTTTGGGTATTTGATCACAGCAAAGGGGAAAAGTAATTACTGTCCCATAGTACTCAGGAACCACTGTAAAATCAACACAGAAATTGTGGGTTTTTTTTTAATGTGTTTCCCAAGGTGCAGGTAGAAAAGCCTCAGTGACCAGACCATGGTGCTAGTGGGATAGAAGTTAGTCTTAGAGAACGGGGCTTAAGGGGAAGAAGTTAGGTCACTGGGGACTGCCCTTAAAGGGGCTATTTGGACCCCAGCTTCTTCTTTCTGACTCCCAGCCACCATGAGGCGAGCAGGCCTCCATCATGCATTCCAGCCACGATGTGCTATGCCATCACAGGCCCAAACCAACAGGACTAAGGAACTCTGTACTAGAACCTTGAAAACCATGAGCCCTACTTTTTCCTTTGTAAGGATGATTATCTCTGGTCTTTTGTCACAATAGCAGAAATTGGATTAATGCCTATATTGACATATGGGAATAGGTAGGAGAAAAAAAAACATAGCAAGAAGCAAATAAATATTTAATAAAATACCATAGTAAATGAAGTAGAGATCATTACACAGGCGTTGGCTTGCTTTGTAGTCTTCAGTATGCATTTGGTTTTATTGGTTTGTTAAGAAATGGCTTGGCAGAAGCAAACTCTTTAAACAATATTAACATATCAAGTGCAAATATGTCAAAGATCAAGGCACGCAATAGACTAGGCCTTGAGACTTTTCCTAAAGGACTCCTGGCCGCAGGGTTAGGACAGCTTTTCAAGTTTTAAAAGATCACGATTTCCAAATGCTGATGCTCTTCTGATAAAAAGTGAGTAAGCACTGGCTCTCTTTGGATTATTTTTTTAACCTCTTATTTCAAATGACTGGGAAAAAAAAATCTCCTCTTCATCCCTGCCCCACCTCCAAACTGCAACTAAACTTCAAATACAATCTATCTTACCCGCAGATAGGTCCTGGGACTCACCCCAGAGGCTCTAACGGTCAAGCTTCCCAGTTCTAGAAGCTCACCACTCTGCTAAGTTCAAGGCTGCAAACTGGGGAACCGTGAGGGGTGGGGAGGCCACCCTGGCTACTGCGGGAGTTTGGACACAGTGAGTGGAGACGCAGGGCTCCCGTCCAGCCCTATCTCTGGACTACAGTCCTGAGAGGTGAGGGGAAGAGCTCTCCTCTCGATGCTTAGAACGCAATCTTTAGTTCCATTTGGCCAGTCATTCCTCGCCATGCCCCTCAAAGTCCGAGCTTTTCAGACCCTGTGAACTTCATAGCCAGCTGACAGTCAACGTTGGCATTTTGCAGTGTCGGTGGCCTGCTGGGTAAATAAAAAGACAAAATGGTTAGCTCAGGAGCCACACTGAGAGTGGCCCAGCACATGTGCAGCACTTTAACGGGCGTTTTCTGTGAGCTCCTGCCATAGAAGGTGAGAAAGCCGGACTCTCTTTTTGAGCTGGATTGGCACCTGACAAAGTTCCGGCTAATGATGTGCTTTGGGGGAGAATGAGGAAGAGCTCTAGGGAGAGGTTTCACTTGAGAGAGGGTTTCTCATGCTCCCTTGCACGCTTGTGCACCATCTCACAGGTTCCCCTCCCCCGGCCCTGAGCATAGGTTTATACCTGGAGCTGTAGCAGTTATCTTACGGCCACAAGGAAGCAAACCCGTGGGCTAGGAATGGCAGTGCAGAAAGGCAGAAGGCGCTGGGTATGCTGCTGACACCATAAAGTGGTTGTACCAGCCCTGGGCTGTCTCCATCTCTTAAAAACAAAACTCTATTTGAGTTAGTATCTACCTCGAGAGATTTTGTTTTTAATTAATTGCTATTAAAAAACATTTCTACCTGGTCACAAAACCAGGAAACTTTTACTCTTCTTACTCTTTGTAAGCAAAGATGTGAGGAAACACTGGACAGTCTGACAGGCTCTGTAATCCTAGCTGCCTGGGAGTCTAAGGCAGGGAGGAGATTGCAGTTCCAGGCCAGCCTGGGCAAGAGTAAGTTCAAGGCCAGCCTGATCAATTTATCAAGAGTTTGTCTAGAAATTTGATAATAATAATAATTTTAAAGACCTAAAGAATGTTTGCCTCAGATGCCCAAATTCTAGATTCTACCTGTGGTATTGGGTTCAGTCAGGTGTGACGAAGCCAGGCCCACGCTGGCTATTTTGTGAGACCCACTGTGACATGGGGCAAATGAGTTGAGTGGCTCTACAAAGACACAAGCTGCCCAAGCACCTCACTTCTCCCTTCCCCCAGCCTGCAGGCTCTAAGAAGTCTCTTCAGGTCCTTTGACATTAAAACTATCTACAGAGAAGATCACAATGCACTGTGTACAAACTGTCTAGTGTGCTTTCCTAAGTACGGCCATCTTAAAATTTGTTTCATTTTTCAAGAAGAAGAAAAAGAAGAAGAGGAGGAAGAAGAGGAGGAAGAGGAGGAGGAGGAAGAGGAAATGAAGAAGAAGGAGGAAGAGGAGGAAGAAAAAGAATTGTGTCATTTTTGTATTTTAAGGTCAAACCCATTAAGTCATGGGATGACTTACTAGCTCCTCTTTCTTCTCTTGTGCTTTGGGTCAGTCAATGAGGGACTTATGTTTATCTTGAGTAAAGATTTTCCTGATATAAGCGTTCTCCAAGGGCACCTAATTTACCATAACTCTTCGTTTCCAAGACATCACATCACAACCACACATGCTACAGATATAGTTTGAGTGTATTATTAAAAGAGTGAAAAAAATCACATTTTCACTAAATGAAGCAAGTATCATCACAGAGTACTGGTATACTATCAGAGAAATGTCCACAGTCCTCTGTAGAAGAGTTTCCCCTTCGCCAGTGAAGCTCAGGCCTCTTCAAAGATTCCCTCTAGAGCATGCTCCAGTGGTACAAATGCAGGGTACAAGGGCCAGCATTGTTACTTCCATCAGAGTATAGAGTTAGGAGATCTATGACAGCCAGGGGTGGCACTGTGCATCTAAGGTTCCAGCCCTTGGAGAGGAGGCTGAAGCAGGAGGATTGAAAGACTGAGGCTAGCCTAAACTATATCAGCCCTAGCCATATAGCTAGAGGTGGGAAAAATAGAGGAAGCTAGTGATAAAATATAAGGCAGTGTGACCTGGATAGATTCATTTTGTTTGTAAAATGCAACCATTTTTCATTAATATATATTTTTTATACATAGGTAATATTCTTCCTTTTAAGTGAATAGTCAGTTTTGTAGTTGCTGTTATAATTTCCAGTGGGACTATTATCAACGTACTGAACCCATTCCTTGGATGCTTCAATAGCCTTTGGTAAAGTAAAGTAAGTCTAGAGAACAAGAAGAGAATCTCTGCTCAAATGGGAACAGAGGGCCTGATGGCTCAGTTGGGAAGAGGAGAACCAAGTCAAGCCTCTCCACTGACAAACACATTCTGATTTTGCTTCTCTCTTCTTTTTAAAAGCACACTTGTATATATATATACATACACGTGTGTGAATACACATGCACTTGCGTGTATACACATACATGTGGATGTGAATGTACATACACTTTTGTGTGTATACATATATGTGTGTGTATGTATGTGTATGAGAGAGAGAGAGAGAGAGAGAAAGAGAATGAATATGCACATATGTGTGTACAGGTACACTTTCACATATATTATCCTCAAGAACACTAACTCTGATTAGGCTAAGCTAGCTGGCCAGCAAGCCACAGCAATCTAACTATCTATGTCCCCCCAGTGCTGAGATTACAAGTGTCTGGGATTTTTATGTTGGTTCTGGGACTCCTGACTCAGATCCTCTGGCTTGCAGCTTCCACTGAGCACCTATATTATGCTTCTAAGTCTTAGCCCAATTAAAGCAGAGTTCAAGGGCAGGGAGGGATTTTGGTTCCAAAGCACTACCTTCCATAAGCCAAATAGGGCGATGTGCGTCCTTTAAAACTGATAGTGATCAGAGCGACTTAGGAGAAGCTGACTATGAATCCAGGGATTATCAATTAAGCAATCTTCTGAGAGCAGGCCCTGAGCAATTTAAGATCACAGATCCATCAACATGTGGAAATGACAGGCTAGCCTTTTGGGGGAAGAGGGAAAATGCTGGGGAATAAAGCCAGGACCTTGACTATCTAGACAAGTGGTAAGAGAGCCTTTTGTTAAGATGCTCAATGGCTATCCTGTAAGAAGACTGAAGTGCAGGGTACTAGTGGGTTTTTAGAACATGGACTGGCAAATCAATCATTGCCTGAGGGGGGCATATTTGGCAAACCATCTGTTTTTATGAAGTCTGAATAAAGTTGTGAAATCTGAATAAAGATTTACACAGCCAGACCTGTTTATTTGTTTAATATCTGCTCTCATATTACAGTAACAGAGCTGAGAGGCTGGCCCTTGTGTAAATGGCTTAGAATATTTACCATGTGTCCCTTTGCAGAGATTGTTGGTCTACGCTTTACAGCCACTTTATATTTTGGTTGAGAGTCTTACCAGATTTCCTGGACCAAGGTTTAAGTCTCTTGACTTTCATTTTCCTATCACGGAATGAGGCTCACCCCTAGAGTTACATGACATGGGGCTGGAAAGTGCTCGGTAGAGACTCTGGCGCTAAGTCAATATTCAACAGGCCTCAGCCACAGCCATCAAATTAGCGAGAGCTTAGGTGAAGAACAAGACAGACTTGGTACATGGGAACCTAAGAATCTAAAATCGATACAGAGCACAGAAATCAAGGATCAAAAAAATGGCCTTTGAAAATCACTTGAGGAGCAGGGAGTAGCACATTACAGTTTGTCTCCCAAGCACTCCAATGCTGCTGGGTTTCCTCCAGTATCTAAAAAAGATTGCTGCTCCTCCAGTCAAGACCCAGGCACCACACTGGGGGTGGAGGGCGGAGGGAGGAAACTCTACATAGTAAACATGAGCTATATTCAATATGCTGGGAAGCTCACACTGTGATGAGCTGAGGAGACCAAGGTAAACTGAGGACGGCAGCTTCCCAACTCCCAAATTACCCTGGGAGGTAGGTGTGGCAACCTGACAGGTGAGCCTCTTCCTTGTTTCCCTCCCCTCCAACCCTCCTAAACTCTGGTCCCTTTTGGCCTTTGTAATTTAAATAGACATCCTATTAGAAGAATTAGTAACTGCCTAGGAAGCTACTACAGCACTGAGAGGAGCTTTATTGGTGATGGAGCAGGGCGGGTAGCAATGTTTGTATGTATGTATGTATGTATGTATGTATGTAACTCTACTGTAAATGTGTAGCTGACATGAAATGTCTATGGGCAACTGTGAGGGATACCTCTTTCTTATAATTTGGCTTCTAGACATCAAGTGGGATTAAAGGGTTAAATGTGTGAATCCCCCAAATGGCCAAGATTAAGTTAGTCCATTGACATGTATTTACCTGGGAGAAAACCAGTAGCTCATGAGGCAGGAGACTACCACGTAGGACATCATGGCTATCCCCGACAAGGCAAGCGACAGGAAGCCCAGGCCACAGAGGACGCAGAGCAGTGAGAGACCGAAAACAGAGATGACCAGGCCTAGGAGGAGAGCGTGGTTAGGAGGTGCCTTCATCTAAAGCAGGCTGAGAATGAGAAGACCCAGCCCAGGTTATTTAAAATGACAGCTGACTCAGATTTTTTTGAAGTCAGGGTATTTCCCATACAAAAAATTCACATTTCTGACATCATGTAAAACAGTTATAAGTTCAACACCTGAGTAGGCATCAGCTTCTGGCATCAATTAGCTGGGCCTCTCCTTGCCTCGTTCCCTACTGTTGGCAAACTTTATTACACTTGGGGTCTCTGCTCATTTTGTTGCCTGTCCAATTTAAGGCTGAGAAGGAGTGTGTTATGTCTCAAATCACAATAGTGTGGGGGATGCACACGGGAGCCTGTGTTCTAACCACTCTGACAAGCTGTCTCGGACTGGAAAGGGGAGCCTATGATAGAACGGCAGATGGTCAGTAAATACTGTCCAGCTTATTGAGTTACTTCCCAGTGACCTTGAGTAGCATACCTTCCAGTAATATGGCCCCCATAAGAGCACCCAGGGAGGTGAGCACCACGATGAGCAGGAAGAAGCCAACAGGGATGGCTGACATGGTAACAAACATCAGCACGGTGAGAGCCAGGAAAGGATGCCTGTCCAGGAACCGGCCCACCGGGGACTTCATAAAGGCAACCACCTGCAGGCAAGGGACAAAGAGCCAGGGTTGATTGCTGTGCCCACATCTCAGACTGGGCTGATCTGCCCCAGCTGTAGTAAGAACAAGCTAGACTCAGAGGCCTCTGACAAGTCAGAGGCTCACAGGCATCAGTACCAAACATCACCCACGACGTGAGGCACCTGGCAGCAATACAAGGCAGCTGTGGGAAGGGTCGCAAGTGTGAGGTTCTTACCCAAAGTCAAGTCCGGTGAAAAGAGGAAAGGGCACATCACCACCCTCTTGCCTGACACAGGCCCTCTCAGAAAGACACCCTCTTATGTGTGCAATGTGTGTACGATGTGCCTACTGTTCCTCAGGCAAGGTTCTCATGGTCAAGGTCACCAAAGAACGGAGGGATTAAGTCCTAGATATCCAGCATCACCCAAGAGCTTATTGGAGATGGAGAACATGAGGCCAGGTCTGGTACCTGTTGCGTCCAATCTTGTTTTTCAACAAAAGCAGGAGATTTGTGTGTATGGTGAAGTATAAGATGCAATGGATTAAATGGCTTATTTGGAGTCACTCAGTTTCCAAGGGGCAAAGCCCGGATATTCAAAGCTAAGATTTTTGACTCCAAATGCTAAATGCCTGCAATGGCTTGCCACCACACCGATGCTTTTATGGCACCAACTGGGCGTTATAGTGGGCCACGGCCTGATGATGGCAGCCATATGTTGTTTTAATAAACAGGTCACTCTGCTTCGAAAGGCTATGGAATGGAGAACCAAACTCCGAGGAGAAGGCTACTTCAGTGCAGAGCTGGTCTCAGTCAACCCCACAAGGATGAGTAACCTCCTTACTTTTCAGGTTTCAGAGCTCCTCTCTCTTCATTACTGGTGTTGAAGCTGATTCCTTGAAAGATCCCATCATTCAAAAACCTTCCTCTAGAAAAGTAACCACCAACCCAGCTACAAAACCTGCAATCTATAACCATGACCTGTGTGCATAAGAACTTGGTGCAACATTGGTGCACATGCTTTGGCAGTAACCACTTTATGATTGGATTTAAGGCTCACTCCGCAAGACGAAACCCATGTTTGACACTGCTCCCATGGCCAAGAGCCTTGACTAGATAGACTGTGGGCCTTAGGGAAAACCAAATACTACTGGTCTGCTAAAGAAACAGCAGTAGAATTATTTCTAACTACATTCTGCTATCCTCACAGATCAGTGCCTCACTCAACCGTCATCAGAGAAACATCCTCTTGCAGTATATGGGAACTAATACAAAGACCCATGACTGAAAAATGTACAGAAAATAAGAGATAGTGGAATATCCAGTCTTAAATGGAATGTCTTCACCAAGCCCCTCCTCTCAGGGCTCAGGGAGCTATGCAGAAGAGCTAAGAGCCAGAGGAGATGGGAGACTCCAAGGAAACAGTGTCTTCCAGATATAACGGGACTGATGCACATGTGAACCCAGAGACTGTGGAAGCATGCATAGGGCCTACACAGTTTCAGCCTGGACAGCATCCCATAACTGAGAGGTGTAAGTGGATGCTGAAGATCTGGGAGGAAGAAGAGGAGGAAGAAGAGGAGGAAGAGGAAACCACAATGAAATATTTTGTATGATAAAGAAATTTTTTTGCAATAAAAAAACACTGCAGGAGGAAAAAAGTGGAAGCTGTGGTGGGGTGAACTTTCCCCATCAAGCACTGGTCTCTCCTGTGTCTTATTCCTTAGGACACTGGAGGCTAGAGGCTAAGATGAAGCACTGTGGTTAGAAGTGCCTCTTTCCACTGGGTGGCTATGGCATACGCCTTTAATCCCAGCACTTGAGAGGGAGAGGCAGTTGGATTTCTGATTTTGAGGCTAGCCTAGTCTATGGAGAGAGTTCTAACACAGCAGGACTATATAAGAAAGAAACCCTGTCTTTGAAAAAAACAAACAAACAACCAAAAAAACAACAACAAAAAAGTGCTTCTTTCCAAACCACATACTTCTCGGAGAAGCAGGTTTCCATCCAAACAATGGTGGCAATTTGGGGGCTACTTGAAAACAAGAGTTTATAGCTCAGGTAATGGCAACCAAGCATGGGCTCACCTTGTTTAAACAGATAAGGCCATTTAAAGGAGCCACAGACATTGTCTCAGGGTTTGAACACTGCCTCTTAAGGCATGGCAAATTTCACTTCCCAGCACACCACACAATGTCTTCTAGCCTGCTGCCTCCCGAGCTCTTATGGTTCAGCAGTCTAACAATAGGTACACACAATAGGAATCACCTCTGAGACCATACTACTATGCTAAGGCATTGAAGGTGAGAGGGGGCCAGTGTGGCTGTGGAACCAACCAGAGGGTACGCTGCTGTCGGAGCTGTCTCAGGTTTTGAAGGCTCTCCAGGTCTGGTCCACTTACATCTTCAGCAAAAGTTGCTTCTATCACCTGACAGGCTCACCTGACCCCTCTTAATCCCAGTACTTAAAAGGATGTCAGAAAGCACAGTGAGTGAGGAGGGCAGGCATTGGAGGAAGGCAGCCAGGAGTGTCCAGAGTGTCTAGCTAATGAGACACCAGCTCATCAGCTGCATGTGGCCAATGTGACAGATAGCTGGGCCTTTTCACTGATACTGAATTCAGTCATGCGGGTGGGGTTGGGGGCTTCAGGGTTGTTCATGGGAATCTGTTTTTTTTTTCTTTCCAAACTAAATTTTGTGAATGCTGAAGAGAGAGTAATTATTTTCCATGAAAATCTGGCACCTGAATTGAGATGTGTTCTGTGTGTTTGAGGGGTTGGGGTGGGGGGAGGAAGAAGGAAACTAGAATATTTCATTAATAATTTCTTATAACTACAGTCTTAAATCATATATTTGGGATATATTGGGTTTCTTGAGATAGTTTATTAAATTAATTCCATGAGTTCCCTTATGTTCAACTTGAGATGGAGTTTCACTGTGCAGCCCCAGCTGGCCTCGTTACTGGAGTGCTAGGACGATAAGTGAGAGCCACCACCCGTGACACATTTCCTTTTAAAACAAAAACATTCAGATTATATCTGTGACTCAAATATGTCTGTTGGATTATGTAAGCTTTATCTCAGAAAACTAACTAAAATAAGGGGTAAATTGAGAGCGTGTGGCCAGGGTGTGACAGACACAGGGAGCAATATAAGTTACATGAACCTGGGGTGAGTGTGCAGGGGGTGAGTGTGCAGGGGGTGAGTGTGCAAGGGGCAATGGAGATTTTTCAGGAAATTGGGCAAAAGTATGACTGGCCAAATCTGGGCCAGTCAGGGAGGGGAGAGATGTAGCCTGAAGGTTAGATGACAAAAGAGGACTCAATAGGACCTGGGGACAGTGTGACATGGGGATCAGAAATGAAAAGACTTCTAGTCCTCAGAGAATACCCCCTCTGTCAGAGCTTCTTCTGAGTCTGACCTCTAAACATCCCCCAAACAGAAGACCATTTAGAAATGCAAAGACACTGTTTTTAAGGAGTCTGACAGTTAAGG